TACAACATAAACTCCGAGATAAACTCCTTCTGCTGTCATTGTCGCGTTTGTTAATAAGTTTGGTAAACATGTACTGTATGTCCATAAGCACCATACTGCATCTGGAGGTGCGAACGCGCTATAGTAATTCTCTGCCTATAAGCAAAGATCATGATCTTTGCTATAAGCGAATAAGAGCAGGCAGACGGATATACATAATCGTACAACCTCCACACCAAATCGAAAGAACAAGCAATATTCAGAACAAGTCTCTGGCAATATTATCGAAAATATCTTTCAAATATAAAAAAAATGTTTTTTATCGATTCAGCGACCTCCGTCTCATACAATACCGTTACTCCATTTCTTCTCCGTCGCACTTAAACACTTTCAAAATAATTGCATTTTAAATTCTACGCCCAGACTTGAACACGTCGATTTAAAGTTTAATTAAATTTCAAATGTAAACTGAAAATCTATTAGAACGCCCTGCGCGCGAACACTTCAAACCGGTGCCGTCAAGAGCTACGTGAACGATCTTCTACTCATAAAGAATAGTAAATATGCACACAAATAATTAGTAGACAGAATAGGGTACACGTAACTATACTTAGACCGAAACTATAAGGGCATTTTTTTCCGCCGCGAAAAAAACGCAGCGTAATTTCCGATACCATTGCAACTATTTTATTTTATTCTATTTTAGATTATAATCCTTTTTATGTCTTACTAACCTATCATAGCACATTTTATATCTGTGATACGCGGGCATAAAGTACCACTTTATGCCCTAGGGCATTAAGTATCACCATAGTAACTCATTTATACTTAATGACAAAACAAACAAATATTTACAAGTCATTGAAAATTAGAAACGTCAATTATTAATTGTCAATACCTACTAAATCACAAGATTGACCTTATTTCGTATAGTTTCTGGAACTTCGAGTGGAACTTCTTGCTCACACGATGAATTGAATTATTTAAAATTACGTTTGACGTTTGGATGGTTTCAATCACATATCAAATTCGAACCACGCATACTCGATCAAACATAATGAATTATTTTGTAAACGAATTTTGACGAAGAAAACTATTTGTAAAACATAAAATTGTGTATGTACCACGGGCATAAACTGATGTTTATACTCTCAGGCGACTAAAAAGCTCTCGGGCCATAGACCCTCGAGCTTTTTAACTCGTCGCCCTCGAGAATATAAACATCACTATTATGCCCTTAATACATAAATAACTATTATAAGCACCCAAATGAGGGTATTAATTGGACTTTATGGCACAGAACTGTCAAAAATTGCCTAGCAACGATACTGCCACTCGCAAAACTTGCTATATTCTTTTTCATATAGATCTTTGGATTTATGAGGAACCACTTTACTTGGTGCGATTTCGAATTCACGTAATATTTCGTCAGAATAAACGTTTTCCATTTCACCTACACTCATTTCCAACAGCGAATTGTTTGATAAAAAGTAAAGTCTCAGTATCCATAGCAACACAAAAAAGCCAACTATCTACACCACTCATATTTGGTTAGCGACAAATTCCTGCAAGAACTACTAATCCCTTTTAACTTTTTAGAGATTGATGTGCTAAAATAGAATAAAACGTTGTATATGTACCACGGGCATATAATCGATTATGGCCCTCGAGAAATTAAAAGCCCTCCTTCGTCGGGCTTTAAACATTCTCTCGTGCCATAATCTTTTGATTATGCCCTTAATACATAAATAACTATTATTATTTTAGCCGCATCAGCCAATCAGCCTTGATTTTCACGTTTTCCAAGCACCCACGAAACTTCTCACGCCGATACCACCGCCAATGTCTCAGTTCAATAATATAATTATATAGTTCTGTTCTCCAGTGGTGTGTAGCATACTTGCATACTAGATAGGTTTTTCATTTGCGACTCCTCCTGGAGTAAAGCAGCCCCGATGGCATAGGAACTTGCATTGGTTCTTACTATTAATAAAGGGCGCTTGGTATCCTGACTGTTTCAATAATGGGAACGCAAATTAGTAGAAGTTTCACTTGTTCAAAAGCCTTTACTTCTCTGACTTCCCACTTCCACGAAGCGTTCTTTACGTGCAAAATCGCACGCTATGGGCAGTTTTTCCAGGAGAATCTGTTAACATTTCCATAACATGTTAGATGTAGAACTACAGCTACAGTAGGGTACTACTTTATTATTTCTTATGGGCAACATATTGAATTTTTAAGAAATGGGATAGAGGACAAAAAAGAAAAATAATGACGTGTCAGACTATACACTAGAAAAATTTCAAAATCAAATGTTTTGCATTAATTTCTCCACAAAACATCCACGGGCAACTAGATCTTGCTGAAACAACATGGCCATGATGGCGATGCATTAAAATGAATTTTTTCCCTCTATCCCATTCCGTAAAGATCCAATATGGCGGCTATAAGAAATAAGAACATTGTAGCGTGTTATCGAAATTCCGCTAACAGATTCAGATTTTCCGAAAAAATCCGGCAGATTTTAACGGGAACCGTCCATTTCCAGCCGTTTAAGCTAGGGAAAATAAAAACGAAATTTGACATTTTTAGTTTTTCGGTAATATCTCAGTTATTTGCAGTGATTTATCAAAAATTTCAAATGCGTTTTTTTAGTAACAACAAGGGACAACTTTGCCCTAATTTAACCTTACATTTCTCACCGTTACGGAGATCCCAATGCACCAGTCTGTACAACCTACAAAAATTAGGTATGCTAAGTTTTATTACGAACAAAAGGGAGAAAAAAATGTCAAAGTTAAAAAACTGAAATATTTTTTTTTCAACAAAACTTTTGTTTTGTTTTTGTTAACATTTTGCCAGTGTACAGGTATACCGTTGTGAAAAGAGCGGGCCGTTTCCAGCAGACCAAATTTCCGAAGACGCCCGAAGTATAAATTGGCTGTACAATACAAATTATGTCAATATATTGCTACAGAATTAAAAATAATAATCAATAATAATAATTTAGAATACATATGAGCCGGTTGCACCGCCTATTCAAGGGGTTGAAATACCCACCCCCGTATATTGTCTCGAGAACGGCACATAGTATCACGACCAAATTTAAGTGAGAGCTTGATAACAATTCCACAATTAATATTCAAGAAAAACATCCCCGTGCACGGCCGCCCAAGGGGTTGAAAAACTCACCCCCGTATATTATCTTGAGAACGGCACATAGTATCAGGACCAAATTTACACCAGAGCTTGATAACAAGAACATAATTAATATTCCAGAAAAACATCCCCCTGCATGGCCACCCAAGGGGTTGAAGAACAATTCCACAATCACATAATTTGTATCAATCACATAATTTGTATTGTAAAGCCAATTTATACTTCGGGCGTCTTCGGAAATTTGGTCTGCTGGAAATGGCTCGCTCTTTTCACAACGGTATTAGGTATCACTGTAAGACTGCCAAAAACGGCTTTTTTTAATATCTGGTTTGAGCTAGGAAACTATTCTGTCAACAATTTGACACTTGGTTTTTATAGGGGTTGGCCAATGACACGATATCCTAGCGATACGGGTACCAGTCGGCGATATGTCAATTACCTATACAATTATAAAAAAGTGGTCAAGACAATAAAAGTTTAAAAGTAAAACAAGCATTTTTCCCAAATAAACCGAATGTCTAAAATGTTTCGCGTGGATCTTAAAATTTATGTTTTTTCTCCAATTTTTTGCCAAGTACTATAAATGAATTTTGCCGTCGAAATCAATTAAGATATGCTCGTCTCGTCAAAGTGGTCTTCGGTGATCTCGCCTATACGTAAATCTAGGTAATGACAAGGTTTTTTTTTATTTTCAAAAACTGGGTTTGGTTTCCGTGCGTCCTTGTTCAAAAATACATAAAGAAAAACGCAAACTCTGGGACTTTTGACGGACAACGAAACAATTTGCAAACAATTTTTGTTTTTGCGTCCTTTACCACACAATTTTTTGACACACTTACTCAAGTTTTGCACCATAATACAATAAAAACAAAAAAAAATGTTTTGCAACTTTTCAAGTTTTAAGTAATTCCCAAATGAAACGTTTGTAGTACCTACCATCTACTGTTTTTTGCAGTTCACATATTTCAGATTTTTTGTTTGAACAAAGCAATGTAAATTTGCTTTGAACAAAGCAATTTAAATTTGCTTTGTGCAAAAACAACAAAAAAAAGTTAGCAACACATTTTAATAACAACACTTGCGAATAACATTCTCCCTGCCACAATTCCGTGCATGAAGAATGAACGTTGCAATGGAGTTGATTGTGAACACGCTGTATAATAATGAAAATCAAAATTAGTTTCCCGTTACACCGAGTGCACACTCGCACTGCTATCCCTTTTGATATGAAAGTGGATTTTTTATACTTTTCCGATTTCTTTCCAAAACAAAACCACCAAGTTACAACTTGTCCAGTTTGGTTTTGAATAGTATCGATTCATAATTCAAAATTGCACATTATGCCTTTAAAATATGTAGAGGACACACCTAGCAAGAGAATTCTGAAAGTAAAAACGGAAAAGAGAACTTTTCAATGGAGTTCACGAAATGTAGGCATCGGCGGAGGCGTTCGCGTATTACGCCTGCTAAATATCTGTTTGTGTTCATTTATGTGTATTTCTACCCCAAACGTGCTTAAAATTTGTTCTTTACTGCGAAGCTAAAGAGTCTTCCTTCAAAAAAGCGATTCTACCCACAAGATTTGTGGATATTTTCATACAAGAAATGAATGTTGATCGTGTGCACTTTGTATACAGGCCAGCTGCATTGCTGGAATAGTTGATAAAATATACTTATTTTAATCTGAGGCGGGTCACAGAAACCACATATATTTTTTAACGATTAATGCTTGTGCATGTGTCGTGATATGCATTTTACACTAGCCGCGATGCGATTATGATTTATCCCTCAGGCATAAGCATAGTAAATGAAGGACATGATAGTAGTAACACTAGGATAACTAGGTTGTCAAAATTACCTACCTAAACAATTGAAGGTTATTGAAAAGCAAGCATTTTCTTATTACTAAACACTGGTACGGTGTCCACTATACAAAACATGATTACAATATCACGCCTAACAATAATGTTATCCTTAATAATAAATATAACAAGTACGATGAGGGAGAAGCTCACGTACAACACGAAACGACACTGCTCGCACCCGTGACTCTGCGCAGACGTCGTCGTCGTTTCGTTAGCATTTCTCTTTCATGGCTGGGGATGCTTGAAAAAATCCGTACATGTGGACTCCAATTATAAACGATTTCGTTTCGAAATTCCTCAAATGATTTAGTTACACCTCTAATACGGGTTTATTTACTATTCCCATGTTTTTACACAACCAAACATGTTGATAATTATTTCTTATTTATTATTGTGTAAACAATAACATTTAGCTACATTTGCATAATTTTTCTATAACTTGTCAATTTCAATTTAGTATTATTATGGCCCGATTAATTTCGAATATCTTTATGTTGCTTGCGGGAATTCACGTTTTATGTAAGAGCTGATTGCGCCTTAGCAAAGGTGGGTATGTATTATGCAAATTGGCTCATTAATTTCGAAAATTGGAACCCATTTGTTTTTGGAAGTCACTGCACTTCTGTCGCCTGAGAGTGAACTGTTTCAGTCTAAATTCCTCAAAAGCAATTTTAAGACCGGGGGACTGTGAACGTGAAGTCTGACGCAACCCTTCCTTTCCAAAAAATGTTGGGAAACAACATTTTTTAAATTGGAAAAGCAATCTGCCTGCAGACTACAGATTACAACCCTTTGCGCCCGCTACATAGGCAACTCATCAACCGCGCTCATGTCTCGTGCCTGCAGCATACGTATTGGAGACAACGCATATTTACATTGATGGCTCCTCATCAACCAAGTCGTAAGTCCGAAAGTAGTCAGAATGTTCAGTTTCAAAACTGTTTTTGTTAAGCATCAAAATACACAACTTTGCCAAATTTACCACCTACCTATCTCTTACAGTTCCCGAGATACCCATGGTGCAGTGCCGGATTTAGGGTTTCTGCCGCTGTGGGCAAACATTTTTTGCCGCCCTTGACATATCACTATACCACCATTATTACAAGGTGGGAAAAGTAAGGCATTCATTGGCTATATTTGCAATGCAATGAATGTACTAACAGATTTTATTTTTGCTTCATTTCATTTACCGATTCACCGTTTACCTAAAAAATTTGAACGCATTTTAATTTTTCTGTTTTCCTCCAAATTTGCCGCCCTTACAATTTTGCCGCTGTGGGCAATTGCCTACGTTTGCCCCTTATATAAATACGGTACTGCCATGGTGGCCCTCGAATTTGAATCAGCCTGTATATTACTAATTTACAAAAGACCATCCCTCGAATGTAAGACATGGGGAACAAATGTATATTTAGGTATAAACGGCTAAAAAATTTTAAAAAAATCGGTATACCGTATGTCCCCGGATTGACTTTACAAGAAGAAAAACTTTTACTATACTTTTTGACAAAAATGCATTCTCCATAAAAGCTTTTGCTTGTTTTAATTCGAAATTTCCCTACCGTTTCAGAGAAAAATACAAAAAAAACGAAAATATGGTTGAACTTTTTCCAAGTCCTAAAAGTCAAAACGCGTCTCTAGTGTAATAAATAACATTTCGTTAGTTACAAAGTCTTCGTTACCTGTTATTTGAATAGGCACTAGGATCGTTATAAGTATAACAAACACACTTCGTAATGACATTGAATAAAAACCTCTTTATTCAATGGTAACAATGGAAAAGAATTGAATTTCCAAAGGTGTTTTCTTTGAAATGTCGGCGTTTTACCGTTAAATGAAGGAATCAAGAGTTTTACTGAGGGCCCTTCCAAACAAAAAGCCCCTGTCGCCACTTGTGAACCAATTTTACGATCTTAATTTTGAAAGTCCCCCATGCCAATAATTACGCGATTTTTACTTCATACGTTACGTTACAAGCGGTTCATTATTCTCCTCAAGTTATGTGTGGTAGAGCGCTAATTATAATTTTGTTAACCTAGCAGTCTGTAAGGAGCCGTGAACGACCTTGCGTTGTGTTTTGTATTTTCTTGTCGTGTGGTTATGCAAATCAAATTGCATTTTTTTTAAAAGCTCCCTCTGTGTTGTTTGGGGCCCACTTAAAGAGAGTATAATCAACGGTATAATGATTTAAATATTTGTATAGAACTGCTGTAGTTACGCTATTAATTATTAGGTACCAGCACATTCTAACGAAAAAAACTTTGTCCTTTACTATGGGTACTTCTCTTTTCAGGCAATCCCAGCCTTAAACAAATTTGTTTTTAGCGCACTTTCCAAAAGGAAAATGAACGATCTATATTCCGTACTATTTCCGTCTATCCATTTATCTGTCCGTCTGGACCATTAGTAGTCCTCCAGTTTAAGCTTTTTTGTTGTGGTTTTTTTTCTTATATGGTGTAGCACAGTCTCGAGACCAGAACAACAACAAAAGATTTGTTGGATTAGTCACTTCCTTCTCGAGTTATTCCTGATTCTGTGCGGGGAAAATGCGCTTGCATCGGTCGCTAAGGACGATACTGCCATATTGAATGGGTAGTGTATAGGTGGGATTTTTTTCCGAATAATACCATTTTGGCTTCCGAATGAAGTATCTTGGATATAGGAGTAAGCAGTGGCGGCTTGTCCGATGAGGCAGAGTAAGGCAAACGAAAATCCTTCGATTACGCCGGTTAAAAGAAAAATCTTCAATCCTTATAGGCTCACCGATCGCTCGGAAACGTAGGAAAGGATTAATCTCGTAAACACGTTGGGGACGCCGAGGTGGTGGATCTTGTGTTGTGGGTAAGTCCAGCATACTAGACTTTGGCGAAAACTTGAAGGCTTTGGTGAGCTTCGTGCGGAGTTTGAAAAGGGGGTCTGCACTGGTTAGGAAGAAAAGTTTCAAGAATTCCCCGAGGTGGAGTGGAAGGGATTTGCTCAAATTATTTGCGATGCAGATCAGTCGGTAAGAAGAAGGGTTGGTGAGGTCAACGTGGGGATTTGAAATCATTATGGTAGTGAAAGTGTTTCAAGCCTTAGGGGAGTGAGACGTCTGAAAAGTCTGATAGAAAGAGAAGGTCGTCTGGAGGTAAGTAGCGAAGCTTAAGGCCATCGGAAGCGAGAGCATTAATCTTGTCCTTCCTGTCTTGGAGTAACATTGGAAGAACGTGGGCTATCAATCAGGAGTAGATCGTCAGGAATTAGAGGGTGTCAAAGTTTTCGATATCGGCCTCGAAGGAAAATTCTTAAAATTAAGATCGAAATTAGGACTGTATGAAGAGACAAGGTATTTGGGAGATCCAGACAGAAAAGGTTTATTTCTCCTGGTCGGTGGAAATAATTTGGGATTATAGCTGTACATGGGGGTATGCAATTTGTGAGACCATCGTTTCGATCTGAAAATTCAGGTCTCTAAGGCGGCGAATGATGCCAATCGGTATTTGTGTAATAATTAATAATAATCCTAGCGGATATGAGACATCAGGTGTTTGGCAGCGATGGGGGTCCCAAAAAAAAGGGATTCTATGAGACTCAATATTATATGGTCGATAATGGAGATTACGAGGTAGTTAAAAACAGTGAGGCTAATGTTTCTGACTCACCAGAGCGGAATTCAAATGAGCACTGGGGTTGATCTTGATAGTGGAATTGCCGAATTAAATGTGGTGTAGGTTAATGTCGGTCATCCTACTTCAACTAAGCAGTTAGCACACGGCGTGAAAAGCAGCAGTTTGACACCGGCGGAGATCTGAGGGTCTGAGGCGTTAAAATGGTGGCGATGGTGTACAGTACATCGTTGAGTGGTGGCGAAGCAAAGGAAACATAGGTGATGGAGGTTGACGTTGAGGGTTGTGTGAGAGGACAATGTGGGCTGGACAAAAAAACGCTTCCAGGAAACAATATTAGACTCTTCCTGAGCTATGAAGAGCTCCTGAACTGGGATCCACAGGAAGACGATGATCCGGGGTTGTGTCCATAAGTGAAACACAGGTAGACGAGGCGGCGAAACAGATAGCCCGGACGGGGTGCCGAGGGTGATCGTTAAGGGTCTGGCGTTGGGGAAACTAGATAAAGGTGGCGAAGGTATTTATCAAACATACTACCAACCAGTCCTATCGGCCAATATGCGTCTTGGACTTGGTGAGGAAGCTCTTCGAAAGAAAAATAAAAAATAGAGTGTGTGATACGGCAATGACAAAACTGTCTAATGGCAGTTGGGCTTTGTGAAGGGCCGAACAACTAGTGTCTAAGTCGGCTCATATGCCGAACTTGGGTGGTGCACGGGCGTCGCAGAAAATGTGGTGGTGTCAACCATGACGTATGCGGCGAACATATGGGAGACATCGCTTAACAAGTTCGTCGCTGCAAATCTTATCCATAGTAGGCTGCTACGTCTGATCGCAATACGAATATGCAGCGGCTATCGCACTGCAGCTATGAGGATGACGTTTTGGTGATCGCCGACATTCCACTGGCAAGAATCATGGATGGAGGCGAAAGCTCAAAAATGGAGTAGGTCCCGGGAACTAGAGGAGTGGGAAGTACACTGGGGTGGCAGACATTTTTGGACTCACTTTGATTATGGGGAGGTAAGCTACCTGCTTACCTAGTTCTTCATGGGGTACGGTGAGTTGAGCAAAGGGGGGATGACCTTCGCGGTTACCTCGACGATCTAATGAGAGACAACAATAAAGAGCACGGAGCACCTCTTCCCCCAGTGTATAAAGGGTGGAACCACGTGAGTGGCAGCAGGGGTTGGTTTAACGCCGCAGAATATTATTAGAGTAATGTGCAGCGAGAAGGAGAAGTGGAACTGAGTATATTCCTAAGTAATTTCGTCATCTTGATATACGTAGAAAAGAAAATGAGACTAGAGGTGGGAAATAACAGCAGAGGAGAATATACACAAGTAATTACTTTGGCTAACAATGGGTGCGATCACCGGGCCACCCAATAATACGTAACCTGAAGTAATGCCCACGCGGTTCTGGGTTGGGGATGGAACTTTTGGTTAACCAGGGGAGGGTTTTAGTGGGTGGTAGTCCCACACTCCCCCAATTATAGAGCCAAGCAAGGGGGTGAAATGGCACTTCACTAGTTAACCTCAACATTATTTTCATCTCAATTGTCACTACCATCTTGGATTTTAAAAAGTAAAAATGCAGGGTAAAAATGTGCTCGAAATTCTTTATAGACCAAGCAGGCTGGGATCTCAAAACATCAAAATGAGATTCAAAAATTTTGGATCAATTATACCTACCCCAATCCGGGGGCACACTGTCAAAGGTGTGTACAATTTTATGATCTACAATGTCTGATCACAATATTTTTAAACTGAACCTTTAAAAAGATATGATTGGAAAACTAGGAAACCAATCAAATTTTGGAAGTTTAGGAAGTGGTATGGAGAAGCACAAGGGGTGCGAGGTCGAAAACTTCCCATTGTGCAAGTTTAAAGTCGTTATTCCCTGGACTAAAGGTTATGCGAAACATCAATTATCAAAAAGTACCCATAGTACTCTTTGATATTATGTAGGAATGTCAAACTGAGGATTGAATAAATTCTAACTAAAAGTAGGTATTGGTGCGATGCTGGCTTTCTAGCGTAGTCGGTAGTATAGGTACTAAGTATTCTGTGGGCCAGTGCTGGCTGCCTTCAGAAAAGTTACATATATTTGCCCAGCTTATGACCAGTATGACATAAATGCGCTGGGCCACCAATGATGGTCCTCGTATTGTATTGTAGGGAATTTTTTAGAACAATATGAAGTAGCTATCAAATCTATAAAAGATTAGTCACGTTTTCTTAGAAAGTTTAGTGTTAGCTATATAAGCAAATTGAATTGTGTTTAGTGTTAGTCTTAACATCAAAGTGATAAATGACGAAATACGCGCTCGTGAAATAAATGTGTGATAAATATTGAATTGTTACAAATCAATTTATATATATAAATTTAGATTATTTTTATACCTACTGTTAAGTTTCTGTGCACATTAATATAATTAACTTTGTATAAATAGGTAGATCACCTACCTAATTTAATTTACGTCAAAGTATGTTATGGCGAGAAGACCATAAAATGTTTTAACAATAATAATAACGTTTATTGTCACACAAAAATAAAACTTGAGTAGCAAATGGTTAAGGGTTCGCCTTGAGGGGGTCTACCACTTACCAATACCACCCTTCCAAACAAACAATACTATATATAACGTGTAAATACATATTTTAAAGGTATAATACACTAATTTCATTATAATCGGTTAATTTTAAGAATACAGTAATAATAATCTTAGAAAAAGGAAAACAAACAATGAAAATAAGAGGTAATAACAAAAACATAAATAAACATCAAAATCCTTAAATCTTATAAATGCCGTTACCAATTGAACTACCATTTTAAATTTGATTGCTAAATAGCATCTCAACTACTGAACTAGTAAGCTTTTAAAATAACAAACACAATTTTGCGAATACTGTTAGGTATGTTGGTCTCGGAATGGGAAACACCCACTTAAAACACGTTTGAGTGTCACTGGCTTGACGCTTTTAAGTGGGTGTTACCCATTCCTAGACCAACATACCTTAACTATTGCTTTCTCTTTTTGCTGCAACAACCTCCATTTTAAACGTCTGTAACGTCCAGTGTAATTCTTAGGTCACCGCCCGCGGTTCGTAAAACTAGATACGCACTTGCCCTCTACCTCAAATGTCATGTTTTAAATAAGGAAAGATGTATAACCTCATGCGCGCTGTGAATATAAGCGCTAATCCGATATGCGAACTTACTCATTTTACTGACTATACCTATTTGTTCATTCTTAAACTTGTACTCTAAATTTGAATATTTCGAGTTGAAAATCGACTTGAAGTTGCCCATTCAAAAATCAAAACCATTACATATGTGAATTACTTTTTAATATTATTTACACAGTGGCGTAACTAGGTATTTTTCGAAGCGGTGTAGGATCAGGTTTTGGCGCCCTACCAGATTTTGGCGCCTTATCATTTACCATATTGCGCTCTAATTAATAAAACACTGTCCATTTTTGAGAGAAACACGATTATAAAAGCACTGCACTCTTTCGAATTTACACACAAATCTTGCATGCTTACATTTTAGAAAGATGCTACAAGAAGGGCTATTCAGAATGTAACAGACGTTTTGAAATAAAAAATTAAGACTTAAGAATTAATAACTTTTATTATATCCATTTGGAAGCTACACTCTTAGGCTATTTTTCAACACAGTCGCCATTCATATTGAGGCACTTAACATAGCGTGGTACAAGTTTTTTTATTCAAACTTTGTATACATCCGCCGTCTGTGGGGGCGTCAGAAGTGGGTACCGACAAAGGGAGTGTGGTAGCCCTCGACAAGATCTTACTAACGGTGGAGTTCAAACTTCAAACGCGAATTCCGGGCGAACGGGATGTCGGAGGTGGGTACCTCAGAGTAAGAAATAAAGATAGAGATGCCTTGATGCTTATCTATGCGTGCCATCATCTCGTTTGATTACTAACATTGCAGGAGGCTAAGTTCTCACATTTCACGAGATAGTTTTTAAGGGAATAATAACATATGCATCTGGAGTAATCTAAATGGATTTTTAGATGCTTATAAGAGTTCAGTAACCCAAACAATTTTAACTTACAATTAAACGGCGTAACAAGAAAAGTTATGGTGATTAGTGCACCACATCAGCAACGCTGTAACTTTGTTTTCCGTTGAGAGGTATTTTGTTTATTTCGTTAAAACGCGATTCCTTAATTTTTAGGCGTTTTTATAGTGCAAGACTTATTCGATTTATGGTGTATTAATTTATGGGAGCGCTTTGAAATGGGGAAAAGCTGTATTATTTGTGGAATTATTGAATTACCTAACATCACCTTTCATCGATATTTGTTTTGATGTCATAGACGTGCATACGGGAATTTTCGCATTTTAATGTGTTTAGATTTCCTTCTAAGTTCCCACTTTGAAGTATTACCATACCTTATCATAGATCAATAGGGACCTTTCAAACACATACAGCTTTTGATCATAAATATTTAGTGATACGTTATTACGTTTGCACATGTAAACAAAACATAAACTTTGTTGCCTATAAAGATAAATAAACCCTACGCCACTGACTAATGTTTATTTTCGTCCTCTCAATGGGGAGATGTTGGTTCATTGGTTCAAACAACACAAACGTTCACGTTGTTATAGCGTACGCGTACTCTTATCTTTATTTCTTACTCTGAGGTGGGTACCGTCAAAGAGAATATGGCAGCCCCCGACAAAATCTTATTGATTGTGGAGTCAAAACTGGCTAATAAAAGTACTGATCTGCCACACAAAAATGCGTTGAAATCCCTTAGATCTAACACGAAGACTTTGGTAATTTTTTTCATTTTTTAACAATGTTCGGTTCATCCTAAAGGAGCGTAAATTTAGTTTTAATTATATTTCAGTGCACCCTGTATTCGACTTTAGCAAAGTATGAGAATTTAACTGCCGTTCTTGTCTTTTATGACTGGTCTATACGGTACACCACGTACTGCCCATCCCGACTTAGTGCCCTCGGTGCTTCAGCCAGAGACATGGAGAGAGTGTCTCTGGCTTCAGCGCGCCTCCGGCGCGCCCTCCTCCTTTCAGACCGCGGTGACGCGGAACCTTTGGCACCTACCTAGTTACGCCACTGTATTTACACAACAATGAGGTAATGATGCTTGGTGTAGTTGGTTAAGGCGGGTTTAGGCTCGTACGCAGAACGGCGCTGCTGCAGAAAGTCGCAGCCGCAGGTAGTTCGAGACCATGTTGATATACGGCCTTGTTTATGCTTGAACGCACAAATACAAAACGTAGGTTGCCGCAAATATGCTTGTCTGTAGGAGACGCAGAAGTTCGCAGAATTTAAACTTTGTACGCAGTTGTTTGTAGTCGGGCGTACAGCTCTTCTTGATCCTTTGTCACCATTACTTGAAAAACATTGAGAAACCTTCAAAATTTTCTCCTATATTTGTTAACAGGTCTTACTGCCCACCGTCGTACCCTCCTTTGAGTATGCAAGACCCCAACTCATTACTTAACGCCGTTAGTAACAGTATTTTCTTTAATTTAATTCTCTTCTTGTCTGCCATTCCAGAAATTAATCAAAAATCTGTTTTTTCTATTCACTTAACCAACCACGTTCGACACTTGAACACTGAGAACAACTGCGTACCAACATAAACAGATAGATCACTTAGCGCGAGTGGTATTAAAAAGCGTAACTAGCATGAGTAAGGTTAAGTAACAGAAAATTAAAAGACTTTCCGAAGGCATGTTCCAAGTATAATTTAAGTGATACGGTCGTTGCAGGTAAGATATTTCTCTTTCTTTTATTTATTCATTCACGATTTCTAGGAATACGTGAATGTAAAATCGATCACGATTACTCGTTCAATGGAAACACAAACTTCTGTCACATTTTCAAAGTTAATTCATATTATTTATTTCGAACTTAACGCGTCCGTGACGGGCTAACAACCCGTTTCGCAATTCCAGATGTTCCAGTTTTTGCAAAAAGTGTCTCCTAGTATAAATTACTGGAAAAAATATTATTGTCGTCTTGATTTACATTACACAATTTTATATGTTCATTGACTTTTTCCCTCGGGACAAGTTCGTGAAGATGTGCGTTTCTAACGTAATTTTTTTTGTCGCCAGTTACCCCATTCAAGGGTTAGGAATGTTTCATGAGAATTAAATGACTAATTTTAGGTTTTGTAAGTATGTGTAGAAACCGCAGTGTATTTAGAATTTTCTATTAATACACGAAATTTTGTCGAACATTGAAAAGAGACATCTCTTTCGAATGGTATTGGTCCATTTTCTTGCCGAAATTGTTCATTTAGACCTAGGTCGTCTCAACCCTTATTACGAGTAGTTAATTGTTTGTGCCGAACTGAAGAGTTATAGTCTTGGTAACCCCCACATTGTTAAGACTGTTAAGAGCAGTTTCGTGAATGTGGGTTCTAACGGGGCGAGGGTTACCATGCTCGAAATGGATGTTTTAATGTCGGTATAAATTCGAAATACTCACATAGGTAGTGTGCTTTGGCGTCAAAAAATAAATTCACGATGAAATGAGTTGGAAACAGGAATGTAAACATTTCCGCATTTTTTTTTATATCTTTAAATATTTATTCATGTTGTTGGTGTAACCCGATTCACGAGTTCAACTGATTTGGCAAGGGAGTCCCAATTAGAACAGAATTGAAAAACCGATGGTACAATGCACCACTGTCTTTATTTGTGTGTATCTGCCGTTTTAGGATTGTTGTCTTTCAGATAGAGTTTGCCTAACTGAGTGTGATCGCCTTTTCGAAATGTTTAAACAAAAACCCAACGCATGTCAACCTGCGACTACGGCTTAACAAATTCGGGCAATGGAACAACACTGGAAACAAACATTCAACATGCTAAGCGGATTTTTTTCCAAATAAGGCCAGGGTCCAAAATGCCCACCAAGTCAATTTGCAAACAATTCCAAGAAATGCAAAAGAATTTTCAAAAATCCAAAAAAATTCTAAAGAATATCAAATGTTTCCAAAAAATGACAATTAATTCCAAAAATCCCAACTAATTCCTAAAAACAATAAAAAATGCAAATTGTGTGCTTCAGGTATTCTCTCGGGAATTCTTATGAAATTGTTTTAATTTTTATGTTATAATATAGATTCATGAAAACTAAAAAGAATAATTTAAAAAAAAATTATTTTAATGTAAACAGTGAAATCCGAGGTGAAATCATACTTACAGCGACGTCGGAAGTGAATAGTGGTTGGGGGGGGGGGGGGGGGGGCAAAAATTAGCGACCATGGAGTCTGCCCCATGCAAAATTGTGTATGAATTAATGCAAAGCAGTGACCCTGAAACGTGTATTTAATCAATCAAATAATGGATTTTTGAAAAAAAAGTTAAAAAAAAATTCAAAAAAGTTCGGAGGATGTCTAGTTCTATGTAACTGAGCAACTCGGAGATACTTGACTCGATTGAGAAAACCATAGCCATAGATCATTAATATTTTATTTAAAAAATATTAATAATGAAGAACTAGAACATACCAAGTTACACATACAAAAGTTACAAAAATGTTGTTCCTATTTATTGCAGTATGTATTGAGCATTGTAAAGAAAAGCAAGAATAAAAAATTAAATATACCTATCCAAAAATTTTCCGCAGTTTTGCTGGCAAATTCTTTCAATAAGTATATCCTCTACTTCTACATTTTTTGTAATTTCTGCATGCACATGCAGTAGAAGATGTGTTAGTCGCTTTTGAGTGATTTATCTACTCATTCTTAGAGGGGGCGCGGCCCCCTAGTGTAAAAAATGTCTGACCCATACTTCCGACGTCGCTGCATTCTTACTATACTGAGACTGAAATACATAAAAAATACAAGTACTTAAGTACCTACGTATGTATTTTTGAAAAATTTTTTAACTGAAAAATAGAGATACTTTATCCAATATTACGCCAGATATTACGTCAATGTTTAAATCTACCTTTTATAAGTAAGTGAATATAAATGAAGAAACTGAAAAATATAATTTTATTCGAATACAAAAATGGCGGCCTGTGTGGCTGAAACCCCCCCCCCCCCCCGCTCCCTTAAAAATAAAGTAAAAAAATCGGAAAAAAATATACGAAAGGTGAACGCGAGTTGGAGTAGAGCGATCAACATGCGATAAGATAAGAGAAAACCTTACGCCGTTGCCGTGATTTCGGCGGCCCCTGGGTTAGAGCTGCGTGCTGAAATTTCCAAACTCCGGAATTAATTACTCATTTGCCTCGTTATTTGCTTTTTGTAATTATTTATTATTGAAGCAACTCTGGTAGCAAACTGAAGCTTAAAAAGTCTTCCTAGATTCAAATAGGTAAGTACCTAGGTATATGTCTATACCACCGTGCTATATACACTGTGTCCAAGATAAGGATGTCTATCATGGGGATTTCGATAACCATAGAAGATACGACGATGGTCAAATTAGAGAAAAGATGCGCAATAAAGAGATATAATCATGCTTTAAAGAAAACCAGAAAGTTCCGCATACTTCCGCAAATATGCCAGAAATTTAAATTTTTTTCTGATGTTATTTGAACAGATTCAAAAAATAAAATAAAAACATTTTCCCATCGCCACTTTTTGAGCTCTACAACATTGAAAGATTTTCAGTACGACGTTTCGTTTCGTAGAAATCACCATCAACTTTATTTTTTATATGGACCGTAATAAAGTACATACTGCGTTGACTGTTTTTTTACTACGAATGCAACGATATACGACATACATAAAAATAAACAAAAGCTGGAAACTTTTGGTTTCAACAGGATGGTGCAACCCAACACAACGCCCGAATCGTGTGAGAATATCTAGGGCAGAAATTTCTTGGAACATGGAAAATTTGTCCCAAAGGTATTCTCGTACGATACGGGTGTTGTGCGCGGTTGCACCATCCTGTTCAGTTTCCAACTTTCGATTTACTACATTGAGAGCTTTCGTAAAATATCTAATATGGTTAATTGTTTGAAAAGATAAAAGAAAAAAGCAATTATGCTGAATAACTTTATTTATTATACTTACATTAACGTTTGGTTAAAAAATTATCAAAGTCCTCGTGTGAGATCGAAGGGACTTCAGCGCATTTTTGTGTGGCAGATCAGTGTTTTATTAGCCAATATTGACTCCACCATCAATAAGATCTTGCCGAAAGCTACCACGTTCACTTTGTCGGTACCATTTTCTCACTTACCGTGCACTCGCAATTCGCGTTTGAAGTTTTGACTCCACCATCAGTAAGATCTCGTCGGGGGTTACCACATTCCCTTTGTCGATACACAGTTCCGACGTCCCGTTCATTCGTAATTCACATTTTGGTAGATTTCGCTAAAATCCCGGCATAAAATCGTATTCAACTTTTGGGTACTTCACATAGCTCGACCTTCTATTAGTGACACGAGAAAGAGAGACCGCGATTCGCGCTGTAAGAAACTTTTGGGCGCCCAAAGTCGACTACCCCTCGAAGCGCGCCGCGCAAAAGGTGGTTTATTTCGCCCCTAGGAAAAAAAAACAAAATTCCGCCACGCAGGAGTTGTGCGCGTTGACAAGATCTTCCCGACGACACCAATTTGAAAACAATCGGAGAAAAACTGTAGAAGAAGATAGATAAAAACTGAAAAATCTCCAGGTTAGTATAATACGCTCGGGGATGGCGTCCAGATGTCGTCGACTCCAAATCTTGTAGCCCCATCCCTAACGTTCTTAATTACACGGCCCCGATAGTTACATGTACACTCCTTGTCTTTTTACAAGCGTTTTTCTACGGGCGCGCATTTACTGCCAGCCAGCCAAAGTGAGATTAAAAGCTACTTTTTACAAAAAAAAAATTTTTGCAAAAATGCGCTAAAAAGAGGAAAGCAACTTAGACGCTCGTCATATAACTAGAGCTGCGAAGTTGCGTAGAATGACAAAGGTAGAGAAATGAAATACGGGCCGATTATTGGATTACAGGGCACGCCATTGTGTCAATTTTGTTGTCGCTGTTTCGGCTACATACTTTGACACCTATACGGAATGATTCACTTGACCCTTTAATTCTTTGAATTTGCAGTTGAAATAGAAACTTGAAATTTGGTTTGCAGCCATAATCGACCATTTCGATTTGAAATAAAATAATTTCAACATGGCGCCGCTTCCGTAAATACCGCAATCTGGTTTTTTAAATAGAGAGAGACATCATTTTCTATTTTTTCTGAATGCACTATTTAAGTTTGAATTCAACGCATTTAAGATTTAAGTACCTGTCTGTCATAGATTTTGACATGTCAATTTTTTTCTAAAAATTTGAAGATGCAAGGGTTCATTCAAAAATTCACATCTCTTAAACCGTTCAAGATAAGTGAGTGAATGCACATCCAATTTGAAAATATTTTAGATCAATTCCTTTTATTGACATTAGTATACTACTCAATTTTTTAAAATATTCCGGGCTCTCCGTTTCGAGCTATAGGTAGCCGGAGTTCTTCGTGGGACACCCTGTATATCCCTGCAATAATCATTATTTCAATACAGGAGACTTATCAAACAACCATGGTAATTTTGGTAAATGGCATTTTAGTACTTTTGTAGCTCCTAAGCAAAACATTTTGAACCCCAATAATTTAATGTTGTGATTTCAAATTCATTGTGTTCATGATATAAACATGATTCGATTACGCCACTGTTCCGTAGGTGCTGGGGGGAGTCTCCAATTAGTAGTTCCGAGCGTTTATTTCTGGTGATGCGATTTTCATTATACAAAATGTCGTCTCTAGT